AACAAAAAAAGGGTATACAGATGAATGTCCATTTTGTATCTGTGTATTCAAAGTGGTTAGGATAGATATATAGTTACCTTCTCTTAATGAATAGAATGATTTGTTCTAATGGTTTTTGTAAATAGGATATCAAGTCTGCATCTGGTACAGCAATTAACCACTAAGAAGAATGTACGCAGTGTGTCAATTATTGAAACTGTCCTACTGATTTGATTTGAAACTGTCTCATTGCTATTTGTTTATCAATAAAACTATGGCAAAAAAAAAACCAGAAAAAAAATGAAAAAGAAAGATCTATATAACTTTTTATGCTTTATGAAAATAGTCCAGTGAAATTTGTGATATGTTCTATTAGAGAATATAATCATAGGAAAGAAATAAACATTAAAATGAGAGGAAAATGTTTAAAAGCCAAGGTTCTACTCCTGAGCAGATGGTTGAAGCTGCATTCATCAGATGCCAATGCTGGTGTTTCCATCTATGGCTCACACTGTCAGAAGAACAGCACAGGACATGCTGTCCCAAGACCTGCAACATGCTAGATTATAGTCTTTTGACAGTCATAAAGAGATATGGTTCTATAGAAAAGGGATAGGAAATCTATAGAACCCATATGTGGTCTTTTTTTTTCCTTTTAATTTCAAATTTTATTTTATTTTGAAGAGTGAAAACAAGCAAAAACAAATAGAAAAAAGACAGAAACAGGGTAACATACAGCAATACATATGCTATAGGGTTTCAAAACAGGAATAGCTAATTAACAATGGTTGTCATATCTATTTTGTCATCAAATCTGTTGCTCAGATTAGCAGATATACTTATGTGAGATTGGGGAAATAACTGAATATTGGCACTTGCTTTCATGCTTTCAAAAAACTCTTGAGTAGCCATAAATTTTTCAAAATCATATGCACTTATATATTAGGACTCAATCCATTTAATGGTGAACCAGGGGCCTTTATTTCTACAGGCTACAAGGCCAATTTTCTAAGTTATTTGGACATACTATATACTATATACATATATAGTTCTACTGATCACTCCTCCATTTTACTCCTTAATTTCTAAATGCTATTCTTATGTCAGAGGAGAATAAAACTTATACACTCAAGGATATGAGGAAAAGAAAGATACTCAATCACTTTTCTCAGTTCTCTATCCAGTAAGTGGAATGAGAAAATAAAAACTAATGACAATTGAACATAAATAGCCAAGGGCTTACAGGGGAGTAAATGACAAGGGTGTGGCATGCTCCTAACTTACTGAGCTACTACACAGCCCATTGTCTCCATAAAGGCTTTAAATCTTCCTTCATTGAAATTTCTATCCACAGAACTATATAAAACTCCATGTAGAATTTTTCTAGTTATTTCATGGTCTTAAAAGTACCTATGCTTTTTGAGACCTAATTTTATTTATTTATTTATTTATTTATTTATTTATTTATTTATTGTATTTTAGGGAAGGGTCTACAGGGTGTTCAGGATCTCACTACTAGATCAGACTTATAGTGATCCACCTGTTTACAGCCTCCCAAGAGATGGGATTACAGGCATGTGCAACCACACCCAGTCTCAATTGCTATCTCAGTGAGCCCCTGGGGCGGGGCCGGCACCACAGGCCCAGGAATCAAACCCCTGGCCCCTGCACCTGCTTGCAGGTGCTTTAATCTGCTGAGCTATTTGGCTGCCCTAACGTTAAACCATACATGAATACTCAATAAACATTTGGGGCTTTTTCTTTATTCTTTGTCCTTAAAAATTGTAACTGAGTCTGTGATGTAGCTCAGCCACAAAAGTACCTACACGGCAAGCACAAGGTCCTGAGCTCAGTACCAAAGAATAATTGTAATACTGAAAACAAGAGTTATGGGAATGCATGTCATATTCAGTACCCCTCATGGAAAGAACACAAGATTACCAAGGAACATTATGGTCTTAGTTACTCTTCTCTGGTTGCTGAGACAAATACCGGACACCCAAAATGAAGGAAGGAACAGTTTATTTAGCTCACAGTTACTGGAGGTTTCAGTCCATATTCAGCTGTCTCCAAGGCAGAGGGGCACAGGGCAGAGAGCAGCACTTTATGGTGGCCGAACAGCAGCAACAACAACAAGGAGCAATGGCTACAGAAAGTCTGTCTCTCTGTCTCTTATATTACATTCAGGCTCTCTGCCCCAGGCTAGGGTAAGTACTCACACCCATAATCTCAGCAGTACTAAATCCCATAATCCCAGCCTTGGATCACACATAATTCCAGTGGATCATGAGTTAATCACAAACTCTGGAAGCCCCCACCTTATGACTGTATGAGGCTTTGGGGGGACAACTAGAAACAAACCATAACAATTATCAATAAAACAAACATATCCCTTCTAAAGATTCATTCCTATTTTGTGGGTTTAATTGTTGGATTCTGTTCCACAGCACAAATTTTATTCTTGTGAATAATGCTATAAGATACATATTAACCATATTCCCAGCAAGGCTGATGCATGTGTATGCAATTGAGTCTGAGAGTACTTTCACAAATAAAGGGTAGGAGCTACATTCATAAGTAAATGGGTAGGAGCTGCATTCATCAGATGCCAATGCTAATGTTTCCATCTATGGCTCTTCAAAGACTGACACAGGCAACAGGACCAAACATGATAACAGCTTTCCTTTCATCTGGCTTCACTTTCTAAGAAATATAGGAAAGGCCATCCTATCATTTGCTCATAAAGACTTCTATGACTTACCTGATAGAATCTAATTTCATGAGGTAGGAAGATGTTTATTTCATGGGGATCTCTAAGAGTGTCAACAGCCAGGACCCCAAAGACTCTCATATAGGCATCCTGAAGAGGCAGAGCCAGGAATGACCCATTATGATCATTCTTGTGGGATTTGTTCCAGAAAAAGACGTTCCCATGATATTGAACTTGGGGGACATGAATTGGCTTTCCTTCAGCCACTACTGTAAAGCTGAGAAAAAAAGGGATAAGAGTAAGCCACAGAGAGAGGTTGGCTTTAGATTAAATCATAGAAGAAACTAGATCAATTTGCCACTCCTAAACATGGTCATCATATGTAAAAGAAGCAAACTCAGATAAGATTACAAGTTTGTAGGGCCTGACTTGAGGGAGACATTTAAAACACAACAGTAGGTCTTACCACAGAAAACACATAAATAAAATGAAGAGATATAATTTATGGAGCTGATATTAAGAAAGAGTCCCTGGGTGGTAAGTTACTGCTTAAAAGTAAGCTCTAGAAATGACCAAGTAAAATCATTTGGGACTGGAAACCCATCAGATCCTACTCTAAATTCACTGGTGACATTTCCCTCCTGAGCTATTCACTAGGATTTGGATGACAGTTTACTTCAGAAGGGGAATTACTTTTTTTAGAAGAATGAAACCAAACTCTTCAAGAAGTTCTTACCTGATTCCCTTCATGTCCTGGTAGAGCACTTTGTTTAATACAAATGGAGCATCATCTAGGGTACAAGCCACATTTCTCAACAGAACAGCCCCTCTATCTGGTAGTACTAGGTTTTCTTCTAAGAGGGAAATGTGAGCACTGATCTTCTTATTTCCATGGGCTTCAGCATCCTGTAGCAAAATGTTTCTATGTATTCATAAACAGTCAAAGAAGGTCTCAATTGTTTTACTAGCCAATTTGTGAGTTTTCTGAATAAATTATACAGCTATTTATTGCTATTCATGGCAGTGGGAAAAAGGCTGACACCACAGATGTCCTCTAAATACGAGTTTTAGTGAGTGGAATAGATTTCTTCTCTGCCAACTAGACTGCTTTACTGAATACAAAAGCAAAAACAAAAACAAAACAAAACCTCTGATGCCTAGTCAAATTTAGAAGCTGAGATCCCTTGGAACTATAGTCATATTTTTGGGCTCAATTCAAAATATTGATTTTAGAGAGCTGGAACAAGAAAATGCCTTCATTTCACTGGCATCTCTTGATCATTTAAACATGTGAATGCAAAAAAAAAAAATGCTCTCAAGGAATTCTTAACATAGTTTGGACATTTGATCCATATAACTTAAGAAAAAGATTCCTTGAAGCTTCAAACTGTACTTTCTACAACTGCTACTTCTAAAAGAACTGCAAGATCTCTACATCTATAAATCTTAAATCATTAATGATATTATGTGTTAACCCATAAATTGAACATACTCATGAAATGAGGACATGAGACTTTTCTTGATATTTGTTTCTCTTTTTATACATTTGTTGTTTTTTTGTTTTTTGTTTTGTTTTGTTTTGTTTTGTTTTTTTGGTGATACCAGGGGTAGAACTCAGGACCTTGTACTTGCCAGGCAGGCACTTATACCAGTGAGCTATATCTCTGCCCCCCCTTTTTTTTGGTACTGGGGATTGAACTCAGGACCTTCTACTTGCCAGGGAAACACTTATTCCACTAAGCCATTACCCTGGCCCTTGGTTCATTTTTTAAATCTTTTTTTAAAAAAAATTATTATTGAGTATTAAAGAAGTAAATAGACAATTTAGAACTTCCAGAGTTCATGTGCCTTTTTCTCTGTGAGCTAAAACAGATAGAGTCAGATCTTAGAAGATCTTTAAATGACCCTGATAAGTACACTGATGTCTTTAGAAGACTTAGACTTATAAACTAGATTGGAGAGATGTAATGTTAATCTTAAACCAAGCTTTGACTTCTAATGAAAGGCAGCATTACAAGCTGCTGTTACATTTTGAGATAAATACGATATTGTTAATTTTAAAGAGCCAAGAGATAGACAACCAGTGGAACTACCTGTTTCCAGTGAAGCCCCAATAGTCAGACCCCTGCTGGCCTAGTAGCCAACCAGGCAGCAGACTGGAAAACACATTTTTTCAAGTATGTATTCTTGTAGGTCTAAGAACTAGAACCAAGACTTCTAGTTATTTTAAATTTTAACTATTTACCAGGAGAAAGATGAATACCCCCCTGATTTCTTAGAATGTTTAAAAGAGCAACTGGTAAAACATACTTCCTTAGATCCTAATTCAATAGAGGGATAGATTATTCTTACTGATAAGTTCATTACTCAGCTCCAGATATTAGAAAAGAGCTACAAAAGATAGCTTTTGCTCCAGACACTCATTTGATACTGTAGTGAAAACTGCTATCTAAATGTCCTATAATTGGAACTAGGAAAAAACCAGGGAGAGAAAGCAAAGAGATAAAAAAAATGACCGTCGTTATTGCAGCCTCAAAACAGACCCTAAGTCTGATTCTCTGGGCTCCAAGAAGAACTCAGTGACAATGAGGTTCATCCGCTGATGAGGTTTATCTGCTACTGCTGTCAGAATCCAGGCCAGCATAAGAGGGACTGCCTTAAGAGGCTCACAAGCTATGCCCTGATTGCTGAGGCAACCACTAGAAGTGAGACTACACTCTGAGGTGGAGGCCCCAGAGCCCAGACTCAGCTTCCCAGGAGGTCCATCAGGACTAAAGGGCACTGAGCCTGCCTTCTCCCTCTGACTGGACAGTCTCTACCTGTAATCTCCACAGAGGAGCCCCGAGTAATCATGACTAGAGAAAAACCCAGCCTATTTCTGGACATTGGCACAGGTCCCTTTGTCCTTTTCCAAACCTGACCTTCTTTCCAGTCATCATACCTTAGTAGAAAAAGACTCTAGATGTCTTGCTTTAGTTGTAACTGAGGTACTGCAATATATATTCAAGTTGCTTACTAAACAAAATTATACTGAGACTGATTTTTTACAAATGTAATATATATTGTTGTTCATGCATTTCATTAGTTAAAAGAGGTTCCCAAGGACAGATAAAATCCTGTCAGGATAAGAAAAGTTCTAAAGACACTGGCTACACAGTGTCCAATAACTTTGGGCCTATAGATAGAGCCAGTTCTTGTATTTGTGACATAGAACTCAGAACCACAGTGTTAAAAGGAGAAATCATTCAGCAGTACCCCTTGCTTACAATGGAGGCCTTATGTGGAACACTGAATAAGACATTGATTTAATTTGACTGAATGCTATGTATTTCATGATAAATGCATAAGTTCATCTGGTTTATTTCTGATGTAACTCAGGTTTTTCATGTTGTTAGTAGATATATGTGTGACCTCTCTTAACTAAAGCTAGAGGGACTTAGAGCAAACTCTAAGATCCATGAATAAATGGGTCTAAAAGCCAGTGTGTTAGCTCAAATGCTCATGCTTTGATTATATATGTTCTAATTTCTCAAAAAAAATTTGTTCTTTAAAAGATACCAAAACCCAGGTAATCATACAGGTAAAACCTATAGTGAATATATGCTTGATTACTTTTAGATTCCTTTTACTGGGATCCACCAGATTTGTCTATAAAGACATAGTAAGGCCTTAACTATCCATCTCATACAGCCTAGGTGAGCTGAGCCTTCTCCAGGTTTCCTGCCTCATTTCAAAGGAATTTATTTTCACACTCCTTGGGCAGGGCTGATTGCCCTCAAAGATGGCTTCCTGTATCAGTCTAATCCTATGTCAGGAAATCCATTACAAGGGAAGTTGCCCTCACATTCCTTGGGCAGGGCTACCTGCAAGAGGCCTTAAAACCAAAAAGTTATGTCTTTCTCAGTGTACTCCAGATATCTCACACAAGCTGCAGAAGTTATAAGGGTTTGCAAGAATAAATTGGTCTTAGTTGAGATGTTTCATAGTAGAAAAGATACAGAATGTAATTATAGATGGAAAATGAAAATGGTGATACTATCAGCCTACAGGAAAGAAGGCCAGTCAGAAAATGGGAAAAAGTTATGCTTCCCTGGATGCAGACAGAGAGAAGGGACGTTTCAAGCAAAAATGTCCAAAGCTGATAGAGAAGGGGAAAAAAAGGTTTATAATGGAGTTAGAGTAGGTTTCAGACTGAGGTGGTCATGGGTCTTCCCCTCTCAGCCTGAAGGAATCCATGTTAACTGCCAATATAAGGAGAAAGCCTGCCAAACTTTTAATAGATCCTCATGCAGATTTGTCAGTTACCCAGAAAATGACCACACTTGTCAACTGGAAAGCACTCAGTATTTTCCATAGGTCCAGCAATTCATGTGTGCTGGTAATAACAGGATTGGTCAGTTTATTTGAGATAATACGCAGTGGCCATGGAAGAGAAAAGGAATTAAACCCCAAATTTAAGAGATCTCTGCTAATGGACCTATAAAAAGTTCTAACTAGTGTTTTTATTTTTATTTATTTATTTAGTCATTTTTATTTTTATTTATTTATTTTTATTTATTTATTTATTTATTTATTCATTTATTTATTTATTTTTGCAGAACCGGGGATTGAACTCAGGCCCTTGCACTTGCCAGGGAAGCGCTTATTCCACTGAGCCATCTCCCTGGCCCTATTTATTTATTTTTACATGGAACTATACATACATTCATTATGGTCTCTGAAACATTTATATATTTCTATTATGTATTAGATCACAGAGGAATATTCTTCCCATTACAAGTAGGAGATGCACTAGCCACTGCTGACAACCATAGTGCAATAAAACTAGAGAATTAGAAAAGAACATTAACACATCAATTTTATCATTAAATTTTTTTTTAAAACTAGAAAACCCTACTTCTTTAAATAACTCCTAGATTAAAGACATTATAGTTACAATTACAGATAAAGAAATTAATGAGAAAGAGATTTTACACAGCATGGTATTCAATCAAAACTAAATTTAGAAGAACATACAATCTCCCAAACATCTATTATTAAACCAGTAAATAAATTTGTCAAATGAAAATAGAAAAGAACAAAAGAAATATAAAATATCTTATTAAAATTTAATAAGAATGGATGAATTAGAGAAGAAACACACATCATGATAAACAGCTGATTCTTGGAAGAAAGGCTCAAAAGAAATAAACCCTTATTAAAGTAGTGTTTTTATAATTACAAATTTTAAAAGATTATTACATTCCAGATACTTTTAATGTCTCAATAGCAGTTCAAAATATATCAAATCAATGTTAATGTAAGGGGCTGGGGAGATAGTTCAGTAGAATAAGCATTGGCCTGGCAAGTGCGAGGGTCTGAGTTCAATCCTCGGTTCCGGAAAAAAAAAATGTTAATGTGAAATGCTGAGGTCCCCTGGATCCTATTTTTATCATTTTTATGGGAAGACAATACTGTCTACTTGGTTAAAATCATTTTTGACTGTATTCATAATTATCCTCTTGTGATTATTTGAGCAATGCATGTTTGTTTCTTTGGTTTTGTCTCCTCCAGACTCAAAGCTATAAGTCTACCCAAGATGAAAATGCCTGGTGTCTATTCAGGACCTTTAGATAAGACCTCTGGAGTGTATCCCTGACTGCCAGTCAACAACTACAACCCCTTTCAGCCTGAAGAAGCCAGAGCAGTCATCGCCCATGGTTCCCTCACAGCAGTTTGGGTTGCTTCTTCAGAGAGGTGGAATGTTGTAGGCAGCCGAAGAGATAGAAATATTATAGGCAGGGCCAGGTCCTCAAGGAGACAAGATGGAAAACAAGGTGACTTTGCAACTTGAAAGAGACAGACATTCCCATTTGGGCCACACCTCAAGACAAAAGAGGAAACATGCAGCTACACATTTCCCTAGAGATAGGTATCAGGGATTAGTATGCTAAATAATTATCAATCACCTTGAAAGAGCCTAAAAGAGTCATTAGCCCAACCCCAACAGGAAGAGACCTTGTTCTGTATTCTAGCCTGCTTGTTATGTGACTTGCTTCCTTATTTGGTACTGGATTTAATCAGTTTTACCTGAGCAATGGTGCTTGTAATCTCATCGGTTGACCATAGTCTTGTCCTACCTCATGCCCACCTAAGTGAGTTCCCATGTCCTCCACCACCTTAGACCTGCCTCACCACATGGTTTTCCTCTATAAAAGTCCCTGGAAGAGACACCTTCCCAGGGACTACCCACTTGGTGCCCCCTGCCTGTCCCTCTCTTGGACAGGAACTTCTCCCAATAAATATATTCTGTTCATAAAAAATAAAATTTTTATTTAGTATAGGGTCTTGCTATGCAGCTCAGACTTGTAGTGATCCTCCTGCTACAAGCTCACCTGTAGTGATCCTCCTTGTAGTGATCCTCCCCAGTGCTGGGACTACAGGCATGCACCACCACACCCAGTTTGGGTGGTGCCAGCATGGCATGCATTACCATGGACTGAACCAGGGTCCTTGTGCTTGCCAGGCAGGCACTTAGCTATCTCCTCAACCTGCAACTTACTTTTCTACCTTTCTTCTCTGCTTCTATATTGCCAACTAGTAATCACTCCAGTTTTATTTTACTTAGGTTTTGGGTCATTTATTCACTATAATAATGAATTAAACATTTATAGTTGAAACCAATGACCAATACCATGTGCTTCTATGAAGCCACTGAAAATCACTTACTGTCAGGATTTTTTTCTTACATATAACTTTAGAAAATGTACCTGCATAAGAGCCTTGAAAGTTGCATTGTATACTGGCTCCAGAGATACCCCACTTGTCTCGGCAACATGTTGGATTTGATGCAACCATTTCCATCTTGCACAATTCCTTAAACTCTCAGTATGGTTCTTCTCCACAGCATTCATCAGAAATTCTACAACATTTTCCAGAACTTGATCTTCATCACCTGTGAGTTCAGATACAACCAGTTCTATGTATTTCTGAAACTGTTTTGAAGACAACTTTACTTCATGACCAGGATGTGGCTTTAGAAACTGTATATGTAGTTTAGCTAAAAGACATAAATGTAAAACCAACAAGTAAAAGTTAATTTATCCGTGGGGGAAATTTTCATTTTTCTCTTATGACAAGTTGAAGCCATTAACATCTACTCTCTATGGAAAGCCAAGTGTATCAAAGCCATGTCTGAACCTGTAGAACATTTCACAATGACTTAATATACTAAATGCAGTATAACTCCTATGTCATGTTATGTTTTTCTTTCCCTTTCTTTTAATTCTACCACTTAGTCTGGTGAAACTCCCAGGGTGTTTTCTGATTCATCTCTATATTTGACTTTTCATATTCAGTAAAGGATTTAATCTTATTCTGTTATTCTTTGATACTGCATTAGGTGGTCCAATCTCTTTCATTCCCACTTTTATAACCCTGAGTCAGCTTCTATTGGTTTACCAATACTAAATGCTCAATAAATGTCTGTAAAATTAATTAAAATGCAATATATATATTGTGCAAGTCCCTGTTTTAAAGTCTTACCATAGTTGGATCTAGTCTATTTCCCATCATATATATTCTTAATACTGTACAGGTATTATTTTCTCCAGTATTTCCATTCTACTCATAATCCCTGACATGCCTTGAATATTTCTGCATTACACCACTTTTAACAATGATGACTCAGTCAAACCTAAACATTACCAGTAACTTACATCTTCACTTTGTTTTTCCCTGTTCCTTCACCTGTATCCTTGCAATTTGGTTTTATCTTCTCCCAGTAGTGTTACAGTTACATAAAAATATATGTGTTACACATACACATTTCTAAGCAATTTGTGCCTTATTTTTGTCTATTTGAAACCTTTAGGAAAAAGTTACCAAACTGTATGTAATTTTCTGGGAATTACTTTTACATTCAACATTATTTTTCTATGATATTCATCCATGTTCTATAGCTCTGACTCATTAATTTTCTCCATTGTATGTCACTACATGAGTAGACCATTGTTGATTATTTATTCTTGCAAATGACAGCTATTCTTGCTTATTCCACTCTGGCTAAAGGAATAAGATGCCCTGATTGGCATAAGCTTGAGAGACTTGCTATACCACACATGAGCTCAGAAAAGATTGGATTGGTTTTTCCTAAGCAAAATTGGAAATACAACCACAAAGAGAAAACTGACAGAAGAAGAAAAAACAAACAGACACTTGCTTTAATGTTATTATTTAAACTGCAGGACTTTACCATAGAATGAATACATTTCCCTTTTTGCTTATTTGAACCACTTTGAATTGTGTTTTCTACAATTTGAACTAAAACAGTCCCAAGTCTAACCAGCAAACAGGTCCAGCATGTGAGTGGGGCAGCCAGGGGCCCTTCAGATCCTCACTCCAGCCGGCGCCCAGACCAGGTGTGTGTGTGTGTGTGTGTGTGTGTGTGTGTGTGTGTGTAACTTCCTCCATCAGATAGACCTGGTGTGGAACTCTGGGACAGAACTCCCTGCAGAGAGGCTAGAGGCAAGATCCACCCAGCTGTTTCAGGAGTAAAACATCTTGCCAGAGTGGCACAAAAGGTCCAACTCCAAGGCCTGCAGCAGGAAGACGGGGAGTACAGCAACCACACCCAAGCCACACCCACCTGGACAAGTTTGAACTTAGTAGATTTGGACCTGGTGCTAAGGTAATAACTGCACCAAACTCTATACCAGATGTCAGAAGACAGTGCTATACAAAATGACAAAGATAAGGCATAAAATGCCTTCTCAGGCTCGAGCCCACCCAGAACAAATGCAGGAAACCATAGCATAGAAGAAATTGGAAATCACACACCTAAAATCTCTGAAATAATGGAATCAGAAGTAAAGAAAAAACTGCAAAAAGAGAAAATCAGATCAGAAATAATTTCTGAAGTAAAAAAAGAAATGAAACTATAATGAAAGAAGTACTAAGTGCTTCTAAAGAAGACACTGATAAAAAAATAGAGGAGAATATAAAAATGATGGAATCCTTGAATAAGCAATATAGGAAAGAAATAGAATGCATTAAGCAGAGTCAAAATGATATACAGGAAATTAAAACCTCAATCACAAGCTGGCAAAACCATTTCAATGAAAGTAAAAATAGACTTTCAGACCTTGAAGACATCAGTGCAGCCAGTGAAAAAGTAAGAAAAGATTTTCTAAAAACAACTATGGTGCAGGAAAAAATAATTCAACATCTGCCAGATGATGCAAAGATGAACAACCTGAGACTAATAGGCGTCAAAGAAAAGGAGTCAATACAAATGATATAAAAAGAATATGGGCAGAAGTAATAGCAGAAAACTTCCCAAGTGTGGGGCAACAATCTGACGTTCAGGTAACCAAAGCATATAGAACTCCAAATAGCAGCAACCCAATTAAATTCACACCCAGACATATAATAATCAAGATCCCAGAAATTCAGCACAGGACCAGTATAGTAAAAGCCACTAGAGAAAAGAAACAGATCACATTTAAAGGAAAACCCCTTAGAATAACAGCAGATTTATTTTCACAAACCATCAAGTCAAGAAAAGCATGGAACAAAATACTACAAGTCTTGCAAGAAAACAAATTCCAACCCAGACTGATGTACCCTGCAAAACTCTCTTTCAAGTGTAATGGAGAAGTGAAATACTTCCATGACAAAGAACAACTAAAGGATTTTATGATGACAAAGTCAACCCTACACAGATTACTAAAAGATATTATAAAGAAGGATCAAAATGACCACAACTTCATGAATGAGAATGGAAAGAACCCAACAAATAGGGAAAACAAACACAAGAGAAAGAGATATACAAAGGCAGTATTTCAATTATTCTTTTGTATACAGCAGCAAAATATCTCCACTGGCATACTCTACAAATGGATTTCTCCTGCACTCTATGGGGCATGATTCTATCTGGGTCTACACGGTGCATATCAAGGAAATAGCAGTAGCTCAGTCCCACAAGTGACACCTGGCCACCAGTAAGCATCATGGACATTGTCCATGTGCACGACATATTAGAACTACTCTGAATTGATCACAGATCCATACATATGATACACTACATTCTGGCCTCTTATTTGGACTCACAATTTAATTTTAATTTTTGAATATTATTTTGAAATATTTAATTTTGATTTTAAAATTTATTTTGAATTAATATTTAATTAATTTTATGAATATTCTTTAATTTTAATTTTAGTTTTATGATTTATACTGTTTCTTTGACTTACAATCTACTTATAGGACATGATATGACATTTTGTGCTAGTATGAGAAACTTTAAAAAGTGTATTTCCATTTTCTATTGACTTTATATTACTTTTTCCTTGTTTTTACACACACACAGACACACACACACATATATGAAAAATATGTATATAACCTGATACTGTTTTGTGGAAATCTTCAATGACCTTTTAAATGGCTTCATCTAATGTAATTATATTTTACACAGTCCTGCATAACTACAATTTTGAGAGCTCTATATTTTTTATCCAGAACCATATAGAAACTTTTCTTGTCTTCTGGATTATGGTATTTGTTATTTTCTATGTGCTACATCTGGAGGTATTAGAATATTTTGAGTTTGTATAACTGGTAAATATTTTACTTTTAGTTTACTCTTTTTTTTTTCTTCCTTTTTTTTTTTTTTGCAGAACTGGGGATTGAACTCAGACCCTTGCGATTGCCAGGTAAGCGCTTATTCTACTGAGCTATCTCCCTGGCCCTTTACTTTTAGTTTTCAAAGGTATGCTTGCTAAGTATAAAATTCAAATAGCACAGATTTTTTTTCATTTTTCATTAACTTTATGGAAAATCAATAATTATATATCATATTAAAAATTGTAGACAAATATTGAAATGTGAAAGATATAAGATGTAAACAGTGAATTTTAGAGAAAGATTTCTGAAATGAATACATAGCATGAAATCAATTATAGATTGCACAGATTGCACATTGTAAATAAATTATTTATGAACTTAAATGAATATAATAATAAAAATTGTCCAAAATAAAAATGAAGAAAGAATTTACAGATCAGTCATATAATAGTTCACTCTGGTTAAAGAGTTCTTACACAAGAGTACTTTAATGAAATCTAATCTATGGTGGGAAAAATCCCAAAAGAATGATTGTTTTGTGGATTTGTATGGTGTGGATTGAGTAGGAAAGGGACATTAGGGAATTCTTTTGTTTTGTATTTTGTTGTCATTTTTGTTCTATATTTTGATCAAAGCATGCATTTACTAAAACTAAGCAAATATATACTTACATATGGTCTTATTTTATGGAAATGTAACAAAAATAGTTAATAAATAGAAACTAATTAATGATAGGCATGCTAGAGTACTTAGGGAAAAGAATATAATTTACTTTGAAATTAGTAAAAAATAAGAAATAGAGA